GGCGTGTGACCTGGCACTAGTCATGAAGGGACATCCAGAATTTACAACAACACGATGAGTGGTTTTGTTGAGTAAAGTGTAATTATTTGGCTGCAAACTTCAAATAATGCCGCAATGGTACACTTTACTTGAGTAAAACAACCTGAAGATTTTACAGGGCTGCTACGGTGTGTGGAAACACAGCAAATTTGCCGAGAAACTTGATATCGTAAAGTAGCTTCTTTAGGGAGAGTGTAATCTTGTTGGTAACCGTACAGTGTCAGTTTTTGCGTCATCCAGAAGCGCGAACTGGGAAGCAAGTGTCTTAATGCTATAATTGAGACTAAATATTTAAATGGAACTGTAATTCGAGACAGAGAGCTTGTGAAACTTACTAAAATTTGGGTGAAATTTGGGTATATTCACAACATCGCGTTCAAATTCCTTGGGACAGTTAATCTTTGCCTTTCAATATTCAAAACGCATATTTTTGTATCTTGATCAGAAACTGAATCACTTATGTGAATGAGGCAAAATATTGTAAACAACGATTCCCCTATATGCTGGGAGTGAATAGATTTTTTTAATTTACAGTAAAGAATGATCGAATATTACAATACTAGATTGAAATCTATAAAAGACAAGTGTAGGTACTGTTAGGGGGTCTAAATTGTTATAGTTCTATCATACGCTTTATCTCAAATATACTCAAATTAGTGAACAGAATCAGTGGAGTTCATGAGTTTTATAATTTGACTGGAAATGTTTCTGTACTTTGGAAAACTGTTTACTTGGTCACACAAGGAAGTTTTACTGTATGAGCAGACCGTACTTGAGGGAATTTATGTTTCCTCATCAGTGGATCTTTCGTTTAATTAAAGCATCACGTAAATTTGTAACTTAACTTGGAAGTGTAGAGAGATTTTATTATTTTTTACTCGACACATCGTCTCTCAATCTCCCCTCTGAGAACACCCTTCCCACTTTCCAATCCATTGAAATCACTTGTCATCATCATTTGTTTGTTGTCTTAGTGGAGTGTTGGGTNTGTAATTATTTGGCTGCAACCTTCAAATAATGCCGCAATGGTACACTTTACTCGAGTAAAACAACCTGAAAAATTTGCAAGGCTGCTATGGTGTGTGGAAACACAGCAAATTCGTCGGGAAACTTGATATTGTAAAGTACTTTCTTTAGGGAGAGTGTGATCCTGTTGGTAACCGCACAATGTCAGTTTTTGCGTCATCCACAAGCGCAAACTGGGAAGCAAGTGTTTCAATGCTATAATTGAGACTAAATATTTAAATGGAACTGTAATTCTAAACAGAGAGCTTGTGAAACTTACTAAAATTTGGGTGAAATTTGGGTATATTCACAACATCGCATTCCTTGGGACAGTTAATCTTGCCTTTCAATATTCAAAACTGATATTTTTGTATCTTGATCAGAAACTGAATCACTTATGTGAATGAGGCAAAATATTGTAAACGACGATTCCCCTATATGGTGGGAGTGAACAGATTTTTAAATTTACATTAAAGAATGATAGAATAGTACAATACTAGATTGAAATCTATAAAAGACAAGTGTAGGTACTATTAGGGGCTCTAAATTGTTATAGTTCGATCATACGCTTCATCTCAAATATACTCAAATTAGTGAACAGAATCAGTGGAGTTCATGAGTTTTAAAATTTGACTGGAAATGTTTCTGTACTTTGGAAAGCTGTTTACTTGGTCACACAAGGAGGTTTTACTGTATGAGCAGACCGTACTTGAGGGAGTTTATGTTTCCTCATCAGTGGATCTTTCGTTTATCTAAAGCATCACGTGAATTTGTAACTTAACTTGGAAGTGTAGAGCGATTTTGTTATTTTTTACTCGACACATCGTCTCTCAATCTCCCCTCTGAGAACACCCTTCCCACTTTCCAATCCATTGAAATCACTTGTCATCATCATTTGTTTGTTGTCTTAGTGGAGTGTTGGGTTCTAGGCTCTCAGCCTCTAGGCTACCTACTTTTATATTAGAGTTTTGTCCAATAGAGAGGCACTATGGCCTCATGGTTAGCACTCCGCATCGAGCAGTCTTGGTTCGAGCCCATGTTGGTGTCTTTGCACTGTGTTCTTTTTTGAGACGCTTTTCTTTCACAGTGCCTCTCTTCGTACTGCCTAAAGTATCAATAAGTTCCAGCGAAGTGTAAATAAATGCCCGACAAAACGTTTGGGTGGGGTGAGTGGGG